CTGGTGGAAGGACAAACTGAGGATCGGTTCTGAAACAAAATCCTGGGTGGGGAGAACCTCCGACTGAACCCTAGGCGGCACAGAACGCCCAGAACCGACCTCGTGCTCCGGGACAGGATAACTGGATCCACTTGGAGCAACAGGGAGTCGTCGAAGTAGATGTTTGCACTACCCCGAGACTGTGGAGGTGCCCCACTACTACCTGCAACAACTTGGTGAAAACCAAGGGGGCCGTAGTGAGGCCGAAGGGCATAGCGCGAAACTGGTAAACCTTCTGCTCGAAAGTGAACCTGAGGAACTTCCTGGCCGACCTCCTGACCGGGATGTGAAAGTAAGCATCCTTCAGATCGATGGACGTAGCCCACATCCCTGGACGCACTGACGCAATGATGCGCCGTGGCGTTTCCATCTGGAAGTGCGGGGAATCGACATACGTGTTGAACGTACTGAGGTCGATAATAGGCCACCTACTGGCAAGTCCGGAAGGAGCCAATCTAGCCCTTCCCAAACCACATCGGCGGAGCCTCCCGCGCCCAAGGGCGTGGAAGCGGCGACAGACAGTAGACAAGGAGTTACCAAGGGCAAGGAAGAGTCAGGAACCCTTCCTACCTCTGGAAAATTTGGCTTTGCCTCGACCCCTATGGGAACCCCTACCGTGGAAGGAAGATTTCCGACGTTCCACCGGAGCGGAAAAGCAGCCGTCTTTTCCTTCTTCCTCCTACGCCTGGAGGAGCCAGAAGCATGCCTCTTCCTGCTAGCGCCCTTGCCTGCAGACTTATGGCGTGCATCCTCAGACGCAAATGGGTCCAACCTCATCTCAGATTGCACTGAGGTAAGGACCCCGCCAAACAAATCGTCGCCAGTCAAGGGAGCCTCCAAAAGGGTAGCCCGATAGGAATCGCCGACTGGCGGTCCAGAAAGGACCGACAACCGGCGGGCAACAACAAGGTGTGAAATTGCAGCCGACAGTGAGGCCATCGCATCAAGATGTGCCTTGCAAATTGCCTGGCTGAGGCGCTCCATCAGTCCAACCTTGCTGGGGAGCTGCTCCACCGACTTGCAGCTCGCAGCCAGCAACGCAGAAGTAAACCAGTCTGCGTAGGACAGAACATGGAGAGCCAGCCTTAGGAGACGCTCCAACTTAGAGTGCTCCCTAGGCCCGATCACAACCTGGTCAACACAGCGTCCCGGCCACTTATCCAGATCCCTCTCAAGGAAAAGGGAATCAGGGGCCAAGACTGGGTCGTGGATGCGGTACGTATCTGCAGCTAAATATGCGATATCAGCAACCACGACATGTAAAGCAGAGAGGGAAAAAGGCTTGCGAGCCTTGCTCACCTTCTGCTTTAATAAAGCGTTGACCTGAGCGAGGGACGAAGCAACGCCTCGTCCCTCCACAAGAGACCTAGCAGAGGCCGAGGAGGCAGATGCTAGGGGAGGCAACATGCTCTGAAGGAGCGAAGTGCGCTCCGGGACGGCTGAATCCGAGGAAGGGAGCGGGCAAACCCCGCACCCCAGAAGCTTCATAACTTCTGCACGAAGAGTGCGAAACAATGCCTAAACCTCTGGAGGCACCGGATCAGCATCTCGGGGCGGGGATTGGGAAACATCGAAAGGGCCTTCCGAGTCCTACCCAGACGAATCCAAGGATTCCAAATCAGAGTCAGAAAACTCCTCGATTCTATCCTCATCTCGTGTCTCCGTAAAATTGGAGCAACCGGGAGAGCCCCGAAGAACGTCCCTCTCATCACTAGGAGCGGCACCCGCCGAATCCATCTCCATCAACGTCGACCTCCGAATGGGGGTGCGAGGAGGGGAGAGAGAACGTGACCTACCCGAAGGAACTATCGGGGCAAGCGAGAGTCAGTGAGAGACAGCAGGATCAAGAGACCATGTAACCTGCTGCAAGGTAGGAGTTGACGCAGGACAGCGGAAGTTACTGGTAGACTCGAACTCCAAAATAGGAGCTCGAGACAACACAGCACGCCCAGCAGCCCTAGCATCACGCGGTCTCTGCCTGACAGAACCGGCAGCAGAAGCTGTCCGGGAGCGCGATCGCTTACGCGAACGGCTCCGGCTCGGTGGCGGATGGAGGAGAGGGACCCGTCGCCGCAGGCAAGAAGAGGCGGAGGGAGGGGGGGGGGGG